AAACAAAAATAGCACCATTCGATTTGCCGTGAAAAACTGCATCGGATAGACACCTTTTTAGGCCTTAACAACCAACTTCAAAATTTGACCTCACTTGACCTGACCTTGAACTGACCTCGACCTGAAATTCATCCAGAGGTGGTCCATATCACTTATTGAGTGTGCCTATTGAATTCCATGAGTAAAATGACCCATAAAACATGTGTCGCACATGCCCTTTTCTATATTTTGTTTTTGGTGACCTGACCTGACCTGACCTGACCTTGACCTTGACCTTTGAATGACATTGTGTGCAACGAATATTGTCTTGGTAGTCTAAGAACACGTTTTGGGCAATCAGTCTCAGTCCATTCTTCGGCAACTACGGTGCAAGGCCGATACTGTAGAAACTTGCATTTTGTACCCTTGACCTGACCTTGACCTGACCTCTGACCTACTTAAGCAAAAAATTTGGGCTCTTAAGATCCGCCTTGTTGAGAGCTTTCGATTGCCGTTTTCCCCGTCTTTCTACGACCATCGGTTCGGAAGTTAGACAGGGGGGGCAGAATCTGCCCCCCCCCCCAGCAGGGCGCGTATGGCTGAATAGCCCAGCGGGGCGCGGGTTAAGATCATCGTGCTAAAACTTTTAACAGTGGGTCATCGGTATCTGTTCACTGTTCAATCACATGTGTTCCGACTTCCGTTTAATCTTTTTTTTTTTTTGCTTGAGCACAAATGCAAATTTTGACGACCATTACAGTAGCAAATGCTTCGAAAGACGGATAGTGGGCAAAATATCCTAAATTTGTCGTGCTGCATGGAAAGTAGTGTTGCTGAGGAAAGGGGGTTTTGTTCCAGATTATTGTGGATGCAGAATACATTGTCTGCACTCACTGCAGAATTATTGTTGGTGCAACTGCGCCCACTGCACCCATGGTTCCTACACTTATGGGCCCATCGATAGCGCTTCGGCGATACCTATCGCCTAGAGGCTGCAATGGGGCCCTTAGAGTACGGTGTCAGACCCCCAGAGGCCGGCGTTGGACCCAAGGGTCAGCGAAGGGCCTCAAAGGCCCCAGGTAGGGCCCCAGAGGCTGATGTGGGCCTTCATAAGCAAGTGCGTGACGCCCAAAGGTAAGGCTTGAGCCCCCCAGAGAACATAATAGGGCCATCAGTGGCCGGTTGTAGAGACCTCATAGGCCAGTTTGTGGGCCCCTCAGAGGCTAGTGTGGGGCCTCAGGTGTCGCTATGAGGCACTTAAAGACCGGTATGGGTCCTCAGAAGCCGGCATCGATCCTTCAGAAGCCAGTACGGGGCCCTCAGAGGCTTATAAGGGCAGTTTCGGTCCCAGAGACAGAAATGGGACCATCAGAGGCCGGTGTGGGTCGTGGGACCTTTAGAGGCTGGTTTGGGCTCTTAGGGGCCAGTTTAGAGCCCTCAGAGACCGAATTGGGCACTCAGAGGTTAATATGGGTCCTTACAGGCCAGCATGGAGCCCTCAGAGGTTAGGGTGGGGCCCTAAAAGACCGACATGGGCCGGCGTTGGATCCCAGAGGCCAGAAGAGGGCCCTCAAAGGTCAAGATGGGCCATCAGACTAGGCCGATGCGGGCCCTTAGAGGTCGGCATCAGGTCTTCAGAAGCCCGTGCGGGGCCCTCAGAGGCTAAGGTGGGTCCTTACTCCTTACAGGCCAGCACGGGCCCTCAGAGGTCAGTGTGGGGCCCTAAAAGGCCAGCATGGGCCGGCGTTGGACCCCAGAGGCCAGCGGAGGGCCCTCAAAGGCCAAGATGGGCCCTCAGACGCCGATGCGGGCCCTGAGCGGCCGGCATTGGGTCATCAGAATCCAGTGCGGGGGGCCCTCAGAGGCTAACGTGGGTCCTTACAGGCCAGCATGGGCCCTTAGAGGTCAGTGTGGGGCCCTAAAAGGCCGGCATCGGCCGGCGTTGGACCCCAGAGACCAGCGGAGGGCCCTCAAAGGCCAAGATGGGCCCCCAGAGGCCGATGCTGGCTCGACATCGGGTCTACAGAATCCAGTGCGGGGCCCTCAGAGACACTTAAAGGCTAGTCTTGGGACTCGAGAGACAGAAATGAGGCCACCAGAGGCCGGTGTGAGGCTTTCAGACGCCGGTTGGGCCCCTGAGGCCGGTTTAGGGGCCCTCAAAGGCCAGTGGAGGGCCCTCAGAGGTCAATACGGGTCCTCAGCGGTCAATGTGGACGCTTGACCGCCACTGAAGGGCCCTCAGAGGTCAGTGTAGGACCCTCAAAGACTGGTATGGGAGCTGTTAATTGCTGGCGTGGGTTTCTCGAGCCTCATGACAATCGAATACGGGCCAGGGCCCCATACGGCCATGGGGGCCCATCGGTTGTTTGGGGGGGGGGGGGCAAATGATATGATGGCCCCCCCCCCCCCTGATTTGCCTTTGGGGGGGGGGCCATGGCCCTGATGCCCCCCCCCCCCCCACTGCGACCGCCACTGCACTGGCAGGAACAACAGCATACAGCCCCCGCTGGCCAAAACATCCTGCTCTGACTATCCAATACAGTTTGCGGAATCAGTTCACAGATAAACAACGAGTGCAAAATTATCGACAATAGCTACCATAAGCACCCAACAAATGTACCCAACCATAGTCCTTTGGTATACTGCAGAGGTCTATTTTCCGCCCCCAACCAGTCGTATTTCGGCGCACTGAACGCCTGCCAACGCTTTTGGCATGTTTATTGTTTATGAGCCAAGAACTACGTGACCTTTATGGAAAAGCCGAAAGGTTATGTTCCCGTTTATAACACAAGCCAATTAGGTCAGCCGGATGCCAATGTGTGTGGCAGCTGATTGGACGCCGACACTTAGATATGGACACTTATCACGCGAACTCAACGAACGTTCTTCGAAATGGACAATGGATAGTTAAAACATGGGTCGCAGTCGTGCGCTGGGATATATTGTTCGCTTTGCACCCTTGCACTGCACAACAACCATCGCTCCTGAGTCATGTAGAAAGCTGGCAAGTGGCAGTTATTGAGAACTAACAACGTCGCAGTTATCACGAGATCCATCTACCCCGCGACATGAGGGAGTCAACACCTCGTCAATTTCCCTTCCATGAAGATCGTCAGCGCGAATACTTGATCACAATACTTCGGAACAAGCAGGGCTGCGGAGTCGGTGGATTTTCGGCGACTCCGACTCCGATTCCGACTCCGGCTTTGAAAAACCAGCTCCGACTCCGACTCCGACTCCGGGCAGAATTGTCGACTCCGACCGACTCCAACTCCCGACTCCGACTCCGCAGACCTAGCAGGGCTGCGGAGTCGACAGATTTTCGGTGACTCCGACTCCGACTCCGGCTCGGGTTTCTAAAATCGACTCCGACTCAGACTCCAACTCCGGTCACAACTGTCGACTCCGACCGACTCCGACACTGACTCCGCAGCCCTGGGAACAAGCCTAGCCTTCTGTAGTAATAAGTACAACCAACACACGCTCAATTCAACGAGATGACGTCATTCGCCGACCGTGACGTCACTTACAGTCCGGTCCAGAATGGGGCTTCGAGAGCTCAGCGGTCATCTGGCGACACGCAGCCTCATAGCTGGGCGGTGCAGTCGGAGCCACAGCCTCGTAAGGGGGCGGCGCGTCCAGAGACGTCTCTGGCCGCCGCGGTGCCTCTGGCGGCGGGGGCGGCGGCGGCGGGGGCGGCGGGGCCTCGGGCGGTGGTGTCTGCAGCCGCGGTGGCGCAGTGCTGGGTGCCGGCAGACGGACAGACAGCGGCTGGAAGTCTGCCGGACGGGCCCCTGGCCTGTCCGACCGCGAGTCGGCCGGCTCTGGGCGGAATCCCGACGGCCGGTACCCGTGCCGAGAGTACGGGACCCGCTCAGTTATCACCGTGCCCGACCTCTGTCTGCTCGAACTGGCCGCCCTCTGCCAGCAGCACAGGCAGAACATGCATACGAGACTGCAAAGCGCCATCACCAGCATCACCAGCTTCACAATGCTCTCCAGCAGCTCGATCGGGCTCTCCGGAGCCGGGAGCGCCGTCGTTGTTGTCATCGTCGCCGTTGTCATGGAAACGGGTACAGCTTGGACGTGTCGATGTTGTTTAGTTCGCAGTACCAGCTGGACGCCATGCCGGAGAGGCACGAGTAGAACATGGTGTTCCCGAATGAGGTGAAGTCACCACCCTTCCTCTGTTCGTCCAGACACTCCAGATACGATTTCTGTTTCTCTCTTAACGTCGCCATGGTGCCTGTGTGCGGCGGCGGTGAGCGATTATGACAACTGGACGCCGCCAGTGTAGGCATCACAAACTCGTCACCAGGGCTGAGGGTCGATGGATTTTCGGTGACTCCGACTCCAGCTTCTAAAAACCGACTCCGACTCCGGACAGAACTTTCGACTCCAACCGATTCAGACTCCACGGCTTTGGTGACTACTGATCAGATTCCAGCTTCAAAAATCGCTTCGGACACCGACTCCGGTCGGGACTGTCAACTCCTGTCAACTCCACTTGTTCCAGGAGGCCGCCGACACCGAGACTAACTCACAAATACATGGCGACACGGAAGGCGCCCAATGCCAATGTTTGGACGCTCACCCATGACAACCAGGCAGGGCCATGTTCTTCGCGATACACCGCATGGGCCGTGTGCCAAAATCGATAAGACGATGTTTACAGAGTTCATATTCTACGGTCATGTTCCAATGCTATTTACGACGGAAATATGAACAGATGCGGTTAAAATAAGGTTTATATTTTCCGTGAAGACGGGCTGATTTCAAATGTGATTCTAGTCTATTTAAAATTCAAGTGAACCTGGTTGCTCTCGTTTTCTTTTCTCATTCTCACTTCGCTGAATGAATATGCACCGCACAACTTGCTTCGATGAGTCAAATCCCCTTACCAAGCACTTCCCCATCATACGACTTTCGGAACAATCTGACACTCGGACACCCGACCTGACCGTCGACCGAGTCACCGGCCTCCCGTCCCATGTCTCGCAGTCCATCCCGCGGGAACCTACCTGAACCTGGAGCCGCGCCAGGCTCTCGTCCGTGATGCGCAGCGTCATCTGGCCGTGCAACTCGAGGTTCTGCAGTCCGCCGTCGCGCGGCGCCACCAGCGTCAGTTTCTCGGCCACCAACAGCGCCACAGGCTCGGAGCTGACGGGCACGGCCGGCGCGGCGCGCGCAGCCGCCGGACCGCCGGCCGGCGCGCGCGGCGCCACCTGCTCACCCTCCGACTGCAGCTGGTCCACGAACGAGTCGGCGTCGCGCGCCTTTTTGCCCAGTTTGAGCGCGCGACTGGGCCCGGTGGGCCGTGCTGGCGCGGGGGCCGGCCGGCGAGGTTCTGAGTAGGTGCTGGCAGTGTCGCCCACCTGCCGAGGAGTGGAGAGGGGTCAAAACAGGGCGCGAAGCAGCTAGTATAATTGCTCACGTATTGATGGAGGACGAAACCGTAAAGACCTGACTTCAAAGTTTGAAGGAAAAACTATCAAGAACGAGGGAAATTAAACTGGAACGTGATAATGCTGCGTTATGAGGAATTAGATTCTTACAGAGCCAGCCTACCCAAACAGCGAAATACGAACGAGCAATCGACTAGCTGTCCCTATCCATAGTTAGCTAAGCCCAGTCCATTGCGAGCTTAATGCACATACAACCCTGGTGCACGTTCCAAACGTTACCCGAGCTCATTTTGACACTATCAGGAAACAACCTCGTCATTGTATCTCTGAGCATAATCACTCCCCGTTCATACTATAACCCTGCCCCACAACAAATTCCCAAACACTCCTCTAATCATCACCTCACTACCAACTACCTCATTCCCCTTCCTCCCCTCACACCGACCTGCGGCATGACATTGATGCTGCCGCCGCTGCTGCCTCCCGAATAGGACATGGAGCTGACGCCCCTCTTCTGTGCCTCGTACTTCTGCCGCTGCAGTTCCTTGGCCTTCTCGCGCATCTTCTGCTTGGCCTCCCGCTCCTGGGTCTGTCGGACCGCCTGGTACACCTTCTCCTCGTGCGAGTCCATCTCGACGAACGTACGCACCTGCGGAGAGGCAGCGGCGTGAGAGTGAGTGAGTGAGTGAGTGAGTGAGTGAGAGTGAGAGTGAGTGAGGCTGAGGGGTAAGTGAGCGAATGGATGAGTGAAGTACATATAAGTTTATGCTTTTAGGGTGCCCAATTACTTATTACGACTTTGTCCCATCAAGGTCAATCACTTATTAGTTATTACACATAATCTGACTCAGCTAAGATGTGACACAAAAAACAATATAGGTGTTTTCTTTACCAGATGATGTGACCGAGTCGAAATCATATCACACCAACGGTCCATGCATGGATAAATGATCATACAGCAGCCTCACCGCCCTCACCAGCGACCGGTTGACCGACTCACCTGCGACAGGTTGACCGACTCCTTGTAGCCCAGCGCCACGATCTCGTCGAAGGCGAAGATGAGACTGAAGGCGTTATCGAAGACGTCCGACTCTGTCATCGAGCCGCAGTACTCGGGCACCACGCGGGTGAAGAGCCGCAGCGTGTCCAGGTCCTCAAGGATGTTGGACGCCTTGGTGGTGATGAGCAGCACGTACAGCTGGTCCAGCGGCTGGTAGACATACCTGGGGGAATGCGGAGAGGTTAGACAGACGACAGACAGGTCTAGCGCGCGAGAAAAAGTGGGCTGCGCTACAATCAACGCTAAAGCGCAGAAATTGCCATTCAAAACTGCTGCCATGTTCGAGTTTTCCCTTCACCGGGGCTATGAATGTTTTACGCGCCGCGTGTCATATTAGCAACCAAGGAAAGGCGACATCAGGAGATACTCCATTCTAACCTAACCAAACCAAACCTGACCTAATTGAACACTCGTAAATGTGCTGCATAGCCCTCACGATGGTTGCCGTCCTGTCAAGTGATAGCCACTTAGAAATGAACACATGCTAAAACGCTTTACTGACCGGTCGCGAACCCGCGATCTACAGATTAACCCGCGCCCGGCTGGGGGTCCTGGATTTCCACGCCCTGCTGGGGGGGGGGGGGGGGGGGTGTTTGAACACCCCCCCTTGTAACTCGGCTCCTGGGTCACGTAGCGATACGCGGAAGGCGGCGTTCGAAAGAGCGTCAAAAATAATGACGAAATCACTTCGGTCAATTTTTTGGTCAGGTCAAAGGTCAGGTCACCAGAGGTCACTGAAGGCAAAATTTCGCCGATTTCCAGGTCGAATGTCGAAAATTTCTAAGAAGCCAACGCATAACTCGAGAACCAATAGAGCTACAGCGCCGCGGAAAAGCGCATTCGATGGCCCTATTAAAGCCCTTTCTGAGTAATTCTCTCAGATTTGACCTAACGTCAACGGTTTTGCCTGCAGGGGGCAAAAATTGCAAAAATAGCCGATTTTTTCGGAAACAGTTTTTCTGCAATAACTTTTGACCCAAGCCTTGTACGAGCTTACTTTTACCGGCATTGTGTTCCTCTCGTCAAGACGCATCGAATGAACTATAAGTTGACCTTGAAAGGTCAACTTGAAAATTTGACCTCAGGTCAAGGTCATGACCTGACCGGAAAGGGTCATGTTGCATATCAGTCGATCCGTATCGTCGAGCTGAACACATCTAAGGCGTTTTCATCGCTCTAGCATGCCTCTATCAAAAGTTATTTGCGAAAAACGGTTAGATACCATTCGTGACCTAAGATGACCTCAGGGCATAAACAAGGGTCACGGACACCATTTTCATGTTCAGTGTGTCTAAACTACTTGTAATTTGGTGTTTGGGAGTGTTTATAATGTCTTTTGTCCAAAAGAGGCGCATTTCAATTTTCTCCCATTGACTTATAATGGGGAGGTCGCAAAATTGACCTGACCTTAGGTCATCGATATCAAAATTCTGAGATATACATTTTGTACATGCTATTGCTCTTAGCAATCGCTGAAAGTTTCAAAGCGATCGGTCACTCGGTGTAGCTATGACAGACATTGAAACTTTTTATGAGGTGAGGTCACTTCAAGTGACCTGGTTACCTGACCTTGAATGACCTTGGTCTGAAATTTTCACAACATGTGTAGAATTGATGTACGATAAGGTGTACCAAAAACGGCGGCGCTCCGCGCCGCCGTTTTTGAGATATTCGCGAAAAACCACAAGGGGGGGTGTTCAAACACCCCCCCCCCAGCAGGGCGCGGGTTAAGAGACGAGCACACACACCACACTTAAAAATAAGCCACCAAGCTAGCTGATCATCGATGAGACAAGGTGTAATACAAGTTATTCAATGATGCATTGGAGAATGGAGCATTGTCCGGGTAGCGCCTCTCTATGGTTTGAAAATCGAAATGCGCCCCTCGCTGCCGATTGATTCCTTGTTACCAGGGCAAAATGATACAGTCAAACTGCGTCATCATCACATTTTTACCGGAACATTAGCCACTCTATATATAACCTTGATCAATGAGGAGATCCTTTCATAAAAAATTGCTGAGTCACAGTACCGCCAGCTTAAAAATTCCCCGGGCAATGTATTGATATGTGTGTTTTTTACTCTATATATAGTACATTTAGGGCATAATCTAACCCGCCCAAAGTAGATGCCCCATTTGGGGCAGTAATTGGGCTGCCCGGAGGCTAACTGCCCCATTTGAGGCAGGATTCCGGCTGCCCCAAACACCTCGTCCCGCTGGCTGCCATGTTTTGCAGACTGGTCTATTTTAGGAAATTCTAGAGTTATTTGTAATGTTACAATTCTGCAGAACTTCACACACATAATTTCCTGGACGGTCAGTGTAGCTTAACCTTAATGGTTTCCAGGTTATTTAGCATGGATAAGTAATTAGATAAGAACTATTACCTCCACAAAGACCTTTGAGACTAAGTGGTCAGTGTGGAGGGAGCCGGCAGGGCACTGTGATCGCCACCCCAGGAAGCGGCACCGGTGGTGGAACGGCCCCGACCTCCTCCGTGTGTATGGGTGTATGTGTCCTTGTGTATGTGTGCGTGCGTGTAAGTCCCATTTACTGAAAATGTGATGTTTTTGCCTGATGAGTTATCAAAAATATACAGAAAATGTGTGAAAAAAAGTAGGTAACTAAATCCTGACTCCTGATTTAGAAAAAGTGTTTTGATAGACAAAGGTCTTTAAGATCACCAAATGCAGATTTTAGATTGAAAAGGTGGTTGTATCAATTAAAAAAAAGTTTCCTTACCTGACTGAATCGGTCTCCACAAACGTGTGCTGCTTTCCAGCTGACATAAGCTTCGGGAAAGCCGCTAAAAGCCCCTCAATCCTAGGCTTCGGCATTTCAATGAATTGACGGGAAAGAATAGCTTTCCCTGACCGAGTGGTAACTGCTGCGGCCAGTAACACCATTTTTGGTTCAATGTCACCAAAAACAAAATAAAAGATGCCTTATCTATCACACCCGTACAGCAACCGCCCTCACACAACAGACACCCGCACCCCGACCACAAATCAAAACCTCCTTACACCTTTTGATACATTGTCGATGTTTAAGTGACGTCATTCAGCAGGACGAACAACGATGCATTCACCAGGATTTGCTTTTATTTTGTTTTGTAAATTAACCGTAACTGACACCAAAAGAAGCTTTCTTTATTCTACAGAGTGAGAAAAATAGATATATTGGAAATTTGAGCTCAGTAAAATGTCATTTAAAGCATTTTCCCCAAAGTTTGATGATGTCATCAAACATTATTGTTGTTACCGTATTTGCGCCAGAAGTGCCCCAGCGGCTGTGACGAAAATGACGCACGCAAGTTACACGTCAACAGCCCGAAGATCACTGAGATAGCTTTTGACATAGGTGGCAGCACTACACTTTCGCTAGATGACGCTCCCAATTTTCCTGAGCCTTTATAGCCAATCTATCGTGGATTATCATCGCCCGTGGCCGTGCCTATTTTGCCGGTAAGACTAAGTATCTACCGCTGGTACCGCATTGAGTAAAGGCATATCTTGTGCTCCTTTTCAGGTGACACGTCCTGTCTTCCACTGATGGCTGGGTAGGGGGGGGGGGGGGGTCGAGCATCTGAGGGCATATTTTTTTATTCCGATGGCTCAGCGCTTCACACAGGTTCCCACGCAGGCTCGTCAACGCCCCTCGACGGCCTCCGGGCTCATCACAGGCCTCCAAGGGCCCTGCACGCTGACCTTTGCAGACGACTGGTCTCTAACGACTTATGCAGATCATCAATGGCCCATCCGCCGGCTACGAGGAGACCTCATGCCGGGATCTGAGGGCTCAGAAGATAGCTTCCGGCGGGGGGCTTATAATCGGCCTCGCGGGGTTCTCAACAACCTTTCTAGTGCTGCCATATAGGGCTTTCTGAAGATCCTCCACTGACCCCTGACTTGAGGGTCTCATACTGACCGGTCTCTACTCTCTAGTCTCTAAGCTCCCCATATAGACCTCCAAAGGCTCTAAAAGCCCCATAGGCCACGTGACAAAAGATGCTTCTGGACCCATGCCAGTCTCTGAGCCGGCTTCCTTGCAGGCCTGTGGAGATAAGGACCTACTCCCATTGCTCCTGTCCTACTCGGAGTCTCGGACGGCCTAAGAACCATAAGCCGGCATCAATACCTTCAGTTGACAACAATCAACACTCAAAACAAGGCTCAACACTGTCAAGTGTCAACACTTACTTACACCACACTCATGGGAAGGGGGGATGGTCAGATCGGCTACTATATGAGAATAAGTTTTTATAAATAGACAAATAAATACCGTCGGTTAATGTCAATGGCCAAAGAATGGGCAACGCCCTCGTGGCATGGGTATTCACCCGGTGCCCCATCCGATTTAAATATCCTCGAAGGGCCGAATTGGGGCTGGGTGGCGCCCCTTCCACTTTCGAGGACCTAATTTATCAACCTTTTCCTATACTCATTACTCACCCACCTGGGGCATTCCACGATAGATCGTACCACTTTTTTTCCAATTTGACACCCTCATCTCTCGGATTTTAACAATAATTGGTCTAAGGGGTAATCAGGGGCTCTGAATCCTCCTGTAACAATTTCAGGCTTATCAGATGAATGGTTTTTGAGTTATAGTGTATAACATGTTTTGGATCTTGCGTTGCAGCCCCAAGTTTGGCGGGCTGTAACTCTAAGACGGATAATCCAAATGCCAAATGCTATACGGCATTGAACTTGCATTGACACAAAGAATAATATGCATTTTTAAAATTTTGAAATATATACTTTTTTTGATATATAACAACTCGAGTTTCCTTTCATTTGCATTTTTATGCCTTTGGGACCAAATTTTTTTGAATTTTCATTTACTTAAAAACATTTTTGGATCATTTTTAAGTAGTAGGTATGCAAAAATTTAGGAAGGTGTTCTTTCTATAAATGTACTTATTTTGCGTCACCGTAATGGTCTCGAATTGTGATTTCGGAAGAGAGCCTACAAATGGTGTGGTAAAGCTGCCTAGTGACATCACTGGTTACTGAAAGTTCAATTGATTATTGAAGTCATTTTTGCCTCACTTTTGCATTGTTGACCTTGCGTGACGTCATTCGTACGTCACTAGGGTCATAAGAGTTTTTCGTCAATAACCACTGGCGGATCCAGACTTGCGTTTTGGGGGGGGCCAACTCGTGCAAGGAGCCAAACCTAGGGTACCCCCAAATCCTGTTTTCTCATCGGATTTAGGCCACTTATTTTTCGTCACAGCCCTGAAACGATAATTTTTTTAAACTAAAAAAAATAGAGAGAGAAATGGTAGCCCACTCAACCCGTGCCTTAATATTACTTTGAAAACACTTCAAATTGCTTTTGTCGACCACCGCTCCGGGTCGGTGCTTGGCGCAGCCTTCGCGGGCTGGGAGGTGTCGGTTGAAGCTCTCTGCCGTTCGGCCCCTGATCAAGCTAGAGCTCGCGGAAAAAAACGAGTGTGTTGCCTGTGAGTGACGAGAGGAAGCCGATGATACCCGATTTTAAGGTCCTTGGTCATTGGTTGACCTTCCAGGGCGGTGTTTCACGGTCGCGCTGCCAGCGCATTCCGCGAGCTAAGGTCAACCTTCGGTAGTGTTGTAGGTATAGGCTAGTTGATGTCTCCATGGAAACCAAAAGTGCCAACAGCGCTGGTAGCGTGCCGTGAAACACCGCCCAGGTCAGGTCACAGACCCAAAAGACGGGAAAATCAGGGCCTGTCAGAACCTCCTAAAGTAAGGCTGTAATAGATTTTTTTGTGCTGATCACGAATTTCATGTTAGTTTGGATCATAGATGATGTCTTCATGCCTTTAGGCCATGTCGGGGCAGGCCAGGTCAGGTCAACCAGGTCAACCAGTACTTATGGGCGTCCGTGTAGCAGGTGTCCGACTACCACTGGCAGCTACGTAACATGATACGAAGGCATCAAAACTACTTCGTAAATGTTCAAATGGTTGCTAAATGCTAAATTCAAAATCAGCTAAACGAAACTATCCTAGAAACATGTTAAACTCGGAAAAGTGCACCGAGGTCATCAAAGGTCAATGACCTGACTTGACCCTAAGGTGACATTGACACCTACCACAATGGTTGGGACCAACATCATTTCACATGTTTGAGCGTTTTAAACCACGAAAAGACTGTAAACGAGCGGATAATGTGAGCCGACATACGCGGAATCGCGATTCCGGCCAAACATGGCCTCAAACATGGCCAAACATATGGTGCGTTCGGAGAGGCACATTCCACGTGGAATCCGTGGAATACTCCATGCGCGCGGAACATTCCCGGAGATTGGCCGTTCAGAGAGATACGCCTCCGAACGCGGCACGGGGAATATTCCAGGGGACGGTGAATATTCAATGCTCTCCGAACGCACGGATAGTCTCGAGAAATAGGCCACAGGTCAAAGGTCACTTGGGTCAGGGTCATGAAATTTTCAGACTTTGCCAACATGAGGGTGCTAAAGTTTCGTCGCGATCGGATTCATGATAACTTACACGATAACTTCACGCGTCGATCGAGAGGTAAAGTATGCAATAAGAACTTCTTGGGTGAAGACGAGACCAACACTCAAGCTCACATATTTTTAATGATACGGTAGTTTCTACCTACTACGCTACTTTCTCACATTCATATTTCTTAAGTGTTTTTGGGGGCCAAAATACATGTTGCCCCCTTTCAGGTTTGGGGGCATGACCCCGTGGCCCCCCTGGATCCGCTAGGCCGAAACTAACTAGGCCGTTTTAAAACGGTCTGATATTTCAGGTCATGGTTAGAGATTGACCCCTTAGAGATTGGCCTGAGCTCTGACCGAAATAAGTCTTTTACCGTTTCACGGGAAGGGACAAAAAGGTCCCTGATATGCTTCTTGTACAATTACCAAACAAAACAAGCTTTTCAACGCCAACTCAGTGAGTGTTCCTAAAAAAAAAAATTATTGCGCATACTCCGTGAATGAAAAATTGCCGGGTCATGTCAGGTCAGGCTGCCAGAGCAAGTTTGTTAACTTGACAGTTCAATCGATATGTATGCAATAAGACCTTCTCGGGTGACGACAAGACATGACGACACTTTATGAAGGAAGCTAGTAAACCAGGTAGTTTCTCCATAGGCGCGGGAACCGGGGCAGTGGGGACAGCTTGCCCACCCCCCAACTATGGGGCCGTGGGGGCGGTGCCCCCACAACTTTCAGACGGAATACCCCATTTTTGCAAATGTTTTCTTTTTTTTGTTGAAAAAAGCCAAGGGATGAAAAATAAGTGGCCCAAAACCGGTGAGAAAACTAGATTCGGGGGGACCCTAGGTTGATCTCTGTTATGGTGTGCCCCCCCCCCCCCAGTCTGAAAGTAGTTCCCGCACCCCTGAGTTTCTCTACGCTATTGAATCACGCCGGTGATTCTAACTTTTAGGTATCTACTACGCAACCTTCTCACATTAATTTTTCTTCAAGCGTTTTGGGAGGGGGGCCAAAAGATATGTTGGCCCCCCTTTCAGGCTTTTGGGGGGCCATGGCCCCGGTGGCCCCCTCCCTGAATCCACCAATGGGGGGCGGTGCCACCACAACTTTCAGACGGAATACCGCCCTTTTTGCAAATGTTTTCTTTTTTGTTGAAAAAGCCAAGAGATGAAAAATAAGTGGCCTAAAACCGGTGAGAAACTAGATTTGGGGGGACCCTAGGTTGATCTCTATTATGGTGTGCCCCCCCCCCCAGTCTGAAAGTAGTTCCCGCACCCCTGACTTTCTCTACGCTATTGAATCACGCTGCTGATTCTAGTAGGTATCTACTACGCAACCATCTCACATTAATTTTTCTTCAAGCGTTTTGGGGGGGGCCAAAAGATATGTTGGCCCCCCCTTTCAGGCTTTTGGGGGGGCCATGGCCCCGGTGGCCCCCCCTGGATCCGCCAGTGTCAATAACTCTCGATCAAATTGAGCTAGAGAGACGGGAAAGCTACCAATGGACTCGGGAAGACCTTGCGAATCGAATGATGTGCAATATGATTTCATTCACCCAGCTTCGTGGCCTGACCCGACTGTTAGCCATCTCTGTAGCGGCGCTGTTTGTCCAGCGCCGCGCTGGTTGGCTGTCGCGGACTCGGGCGGTCACGTGATGCCCGGGGGCTGGCTGCCGGCTGGGCCGCCCGGTCGGGGAGCGGAGCCAAACACACGGCAGTGTGCTGA